AATGAAATCTTCATCTCCATAAAGCTTTTCAGCAGATGGAAGCATGAAGTGCTCCAAAATCTCCTGATAGCTAGCTGCATTGACCCTGCCCTTGATAAAACACAGTGGACCAACACCAGCAGCTGACATGACACCCCAGACCATCACTGACTGTGGGTGCTTCACACTGGACTTCTGGCATTTTGGCATTTCCTTCTCCCCGGTCTTCCTCCAGACTCTGGCCCCTTGATTTCCGAATGACATGCAAAATTTGCTTTCATCCGAAAAAAGTACTTTGGACCACTGAGCAACAGTCCAGTGCTGCTTCTCTGTAGCCCAGGTCAGGCGCTTCTGCCACTGTTTCTGGTTCAAAAGTGGCTTGACCTGGGGAATGCGGCACCTGTAGCCCATTTCCTGCACACGCCTGTGCACGGTGGCTCTGGATGTTTCTACTCCAGACTCAGTCCACTGCTTCCGCAGGTCCCCCAAGGTCTGGAATTGGCCCTTCTCCACAATCCTCCTCAGGGTCCGGTCACCTCTTCTCGTTGTGCAGCGTTTTCTGCCACACTTTTCCCTTCCCACAGACTTCCCACTGAGGTGCCTTGATACAGCACTCTGGGAACAGCCTATTTGTTCAGCAGTTTCTTTCTGTGTCTTACCCTCTTGCTTGAGGGTGTCAATGATGGCCTTCTGGACAGCAGTCAGGTCGGCAGTCTTACCCATGATTGTGGTTTTGAGTAATGAACAAGGCTGGGAGTTTTTAAAAGCCTTAGGAATCTTTTGCAGGTGTTTAGAGTTACGTCGTTGATTCAGATGGTTAGGTTAATAGCTTGTTTAGAGAACCTTTTCATGATATGCTAATTTTTTGGGACAGTCATTTTGGGTTTTCATGAGCTGTATGCCATAATCATCAGTATTAAAACAATTAAAGACCTGAAATATTTCAGTTGGTGTGCAATGAATCTGAAATATATGAAAGTTTCATTTTTATCATTACATTATGGAAAATAATGACCTTTATCACAATATGCTAATTTTTTGAGAAGGACCTGTACATGTGATGGTATCATACATTTAGTTAATACGCATGCATGTGCATGCACATTTTGCAATAAGCCTGTGATGTTCAGAGGAGCCGTATGATCATCTTACACTGCAAGATACAACAAAAAGTAAGTTAGTCAATTGTTTTGGTGCCAAGTACACATGGTATTATTGTGTATTTACACAATTTACAGTGTGCAATGAATTTCCTGAACCGTAAGTAAATCGTTTGGGTGACGCTTTGCATGTAATATGTGCTCGACTTCAGGTGGAGCGAAAACTCTGTTTATGTGCCAAGAGTGCAAGTGAAGTTAGTCCAAGCTTTGTGAATTTAATTTAAACAATATAAGGACAATATAATCATTCTGCTGCCTTAACTGTTAACTCAGGGTGTCATACAGTGAGTTGTAAAGTCTGTGTCTGTGTCAAACTGTAAAGTCATGGTGTCATACAGCTGTTAAACTGCTAAGTTAGGGTGAACTGAGCCATCAGGGTGTAATAAAGCTGTTAAAAACAAAGTATATGATGATCTGACAGGTTAACTGCTAACTCAGGGTGTCATACAGCTGTTATTCAGGGTGGATTGAGGCGTCAGGGTGTCATACAGTGGTTATTCAGGGCAGATTGAGGCATCAGGGTATCATACAGCGGTTAATAACAAAATATGATGATTTGACAGGTTAACTGCTACGTGATGGTGTTATATGGCTAATTAAATAGAAGTGTATGGTGCTCTCACAGCGGATAGATGCAGCCATCAGTTTGCGCTACGCGTATGGCGATCTGACGATGTATGCTAGCTGAAAAGACCTACTGTATCTAACATTTGACTGGGATGTTTGTTTTGACATAAAATTCATATTCCGGCGATATCTACCCGTATGAGAAGCTACACGAAGCTACATGCCAACTATGGCCAGCTAGCTTCTCTCGAAGAAAACAAACTTTCACCCTTTATGCAGTTTTCAACTTAAAAAAACGTAACAGTAAATATCGCTTTTCACTTACTTCCACAGATAACTTTTAGCTTGAGGAGATGACGCCCTGCCCGGCTCCGACGCTCCGGTGGAGAGGACCCGGGTAGACCGGCTGAGCTCCATCTAGCTTGCTCTGAATTTTGTCGTTGGCCAGCAAGCACAAAAAAAATGCCAGCACTTCAGCATTAGAGCACGGTGTTGTCATTATTGTTTTTCAATCTTTAAAATAGGTCCAGCCGCTACTCCAGTCTGAGAAATTGCAAATGGCGGATGGGTGAAATTGAAAAGTTTCTGAAAGATCCAGTGACTCCTTCCCCTGACCAATCAGTGACCGACAGTGCACTGACATCACATCTGAACCCAACAAGAACCAGACCTGGGACCCCAGAGAAGTAGGTCCCAAAAATCGTGCGGGTTCCACCGCTGAAGGCACTGTGGAGAAACTACGCAATCGGCCCAAACTAGTTACATAGGAGCCCTAAAAGGCCCTGTGGATAAGGGGCTTTTAGGGACGGTTTAGGCTACACATGACCTTCAGCACATGCCAACTGGCAGGAATGTACGGTGCCGCCAATGAGAACCCATTTTTTTGATAAAGTGAACTAAAAATGACATTTTTAAATCTCTAGGAATTCATTAGGGAACATATCTTTTTTTAAATGCTGTGCTTGACTTACATGGAAGTTGGGGATGTGCTCTCGATCGAGGGGCTTGTTAACCGTGAGCTCTCCAGAAATGGGGTCAATAGTGAAGATTGCAAATGGAGGCTGGTCAGCTCCTGGGCCCGTCACACTGTATCTTAGAATCTGGTTTTTATCATGATCGGACCGGATCTGTGGGTGCAAAGATTCATCTTGACATTAATCACTCAACATAACTAAATTCAAAACAATAAAACTGCAGAAAACTTCACATAAATTAAAATTTCTAGTAACTTTAATACATCCGTTGCCCTTTAAACAAAACAAAAAAAAAAGCATAGTAGTGCAATTTTGTCATAGTTGGGCTGAGTATCTATGTAAGCTGAAAACCTCAAGACTATACCCTTGATCCATTCTGCGCAAACCATGTTCTCTTAATATCACATACTGTAGCCTGGAAAAATCTTTTCAAATATTGCCAGATTAAAAATAACATATATTACAATCGTAGGATTTAGCACAGAGTATGGAAGATTAATGTGCTGAAATAGGATCTGTTTCTTAGCTGTCCACACCTCGGCCTGAGCACTAAGTTTTTGCAAACTAAACTGCATTTATCCTTGTATCATTAAGAAAAAGCAGAAAAGAAAACATTCTGTCAGCCAATAAACAATCATGGTCTACATTTTGATTCATGACTTCTAAAAATTAAAATAAAATTTATTTTATAAGATAAAAAGAAAAAATACAGGAGAAAAAAACCTAGAAAAACTTTAGAAACATGCTGTAAATGAGACACATCTCACATCTGTCTGTGTGCATGCATGCAGTTGAGTCATATACATTACCCGGACTAGCTCTTGTGGGAATGGGCCCCGCGAGTTCTCAGGGACATTGATTGGAGGGATGACCCAGTCTCTTCTCAAGTGTTTCAGTTGGCTGTCCATGTTTTGCATAGGAAACACTATTTCCTCTAAATTCTTGGACATGACTGGAGGGACAGCATGTTCCTGGACATGACGAAAAGTGAAAAGATGATTTCCTGATCATATGTATGCAGGAAAGTAGGAGTGCAGGCACTATTAACACCCAGGTAAATGAGGTCCTTGAGGTGATATTGCTAAACAAAGAGTGCTGTGTTGACATCTCATACATGAGATTGTTTCTTACCATCTCAGCAGTAAACTCCGGTGGATTGTCATCAATGGCTGTAACTATGATGACGGCTGTGGCTGTGTTGGAGAAACCATACATGGTGTTGCCCTCCATGTCTGTTGCTTGGATGATCAACGTGTACTGAGGCACTTTCTATAAGAAAGAAAAAGGAGAAAATAAATATTGAGACTAACAAAAATAAATCACAAATATTCTAAATTAAACTTGGGTTTTAAAAGTTTTACAAACAAATAAGGCTTTCTGAACTAAACTATAGTCCAATACCATGACAACGTACTGCAGTTACACTGTAATACAATTTTTACTAAAACAAATCTGACCAGTCCAGCATTTTATTATGACAAATGGAGAGTTTTTTTTTTTTTTTTTTTAATATAAACTGAACTTCTTTCACGAGTTCAAACAAGTTTGTGTAAATATGTGAGCAAAGCGCACCTCTACAATGAACACAACCATATAGGGAACAAATGACTTTTTTCACACTAAAAACCACTCAGGTGATGGACCAGTTGCTAGGTAATGAGTCGGGCAAAATACTTTCATGGTGGCAACTTGCGGACATAAATCTGCAGCCCCAGGGTGGAAGTGATTCAGCAGCCACCTCAGCCAGATTGCCTTCACTAGAACTGAACCAACTAGCTCCAGTGGTATACATAATTTTATTTATTTGCCCAAACATCCATTCAATCCTAATTTAACAAGAGTGGCTTCATGAAAAATGGAGAGAAGGAAGACATAAAAAGCTTTTTCTTTAAAAAAAATAAAAAAAAAAAAAAACGAGAACAAAAAAAGAAAAAAAACATTTAACGGCTTAGCGATGCACAGTGGTTCCTTGCAAGAGTAAATTAGTGTGAAACAGTCACATCCACTTTTATTTCTCATTTAGGTGATAACCTAAATTTACTTTGGCTCATTAGTTCTCAAATAGTCTGCATATTGGTGTAATTCTCAAACTGTCAACAGTTTTTAAAACCCACAGACAATTTAACCAAAAACAAACAAAAAATTGTTAATAGAGCAAAAAACTTCTTTCAGCTTTTCCCTCTTCAGGGGTCACCACAGCGAGCCATCTTCCTGCATCTCACTCTGTCCTCTGTCCTCACTCCAACAACTCCAGGGCCTCTCTAACTGCAGCCATATACACTGCCTGGCCAAAAAATAGTCGTCATCAAAAAAATAAATAAAAAAGGTCACATACTAATATTTCATTGGATTGCCTTTAGCTTTGATGACGGCATTCATTCGCTGTGGCACTGTTTCGATAAGCTTCTGCAATGTCACAAGATCTATTTCCATCCAGTGTTGCATTAATTTTTCACCAAGATCTTGCACTGATGACTAGGCACTAGGCATGTTGGGTGCATCACTTCACCTGCCCCTCTTCTTACCCTGATGAGCCCATCACTCTGGAACAGGGTAAATCTGGACTCAGACCACATGACCTTCTTCCATTGCTCCAGAGTCCAATCTTTATGCTCCCTAGCAAATTAAAGCCTTTTTTTTTCTCTGGTTAGCCTCAGTGATTAGTAGTTTTCTTAAGGCTACACAGCTGTTCAGTCCCAATCCCTCGAGTTCACTTCACATTGTGCATGTGGAAATGCTCTTACTTTCACTATTAAACATAGCCCTGAGTGCTACTGTTGTTTTCTTCCATTTGATTTCAACAAATGTTTAAGTGATTGCCGATCACAATCATTCAGGATATTTTTCCGGGCACATTACTTCCTCCAAGACGATGGGCCCCCACTATCTTTCCAGTTTTTAAATAATGCATTGGACAGTTCTTAACCCAATATTAGTAGTTTCTGCAATCTCCTTAGATGTTTTCTCTGCTTGATGCATGCCAATGATTTGACCCTTCTCAAACAAACAGACATCTTGTCCACGACCACACAATGTGCCTTTCAACATGGTTAAGAAATGAGAAGCAACTCATTGCACCAGTTGGGGTTACATAACTTGTTGCTAGCTGAAAGATAATCACCCATGCAGTAATTATCCAGTAGGAGGCTCGTACCCATTTGCTTAGTTAAATCCAGGTTGTGACTTTTTTTTTTTTGGCCAGGCAGTGCATCTTCTCTTTGGCCATCCTTTGACTTTTTTCCTGGGAGCTGCATTTCTAACATCCTTATACTAATATACCCACTGTCCCTCCTCTGGACATGTCCAAACCATCTCAGTCTGGCCTCTCTAACTTTATCTCCCAGTTGTTCAACCTGTGCTGTACCTCTGATGATCTCATTCCTACCTTCCTACCTGTCACTCTAATTACAGTTGCTGTAGTAGTCCAGTCATCTATAAGCTTTTTCTTACCACACAGCCTTTAACAGCTCCTCTCTGAACTCCTCACAACATTCTCCCTTCTTCAGCTTCGACCGTTTGGTCTTCTTCTCTGATTTTGCACTTTTTTCTCTTCTTTACAACAACAGTCATTCTACACACAAACTTCTGATGTTGTCTGGCCACGGCCTCCCCTTCCACAGCCTTACAGTCCCCAATCTCTCTCAGGTTTCCTCTTATACACATAATGGGGTCTACTTGCGTACTTCTACCTCCACACTTAAAGGTCACTATTTTCCTCCTCCTTTTGGAAATAAATGTTGACTACAGCAAATTCCATTATCTTGGCGAAATCCACCACCATCTGTCCTTCCTGGTTTCTTTCCTTGACATCAAACCTACCCATCACTTCCTCATCCTGTTTCCTTCACCAACATGCTCATTCAGGTTTGATCCGATCATCACTCTCTCCTCCCTGGGAATACTTCCTATCACTTCATCCAAAATGTCTCTTTCTCCTCCGCATCACTTCCAACCTGTGGAACATAACTACTGATAATTTAACATCAGAACTTCTACTTCAACCTTCAGACACATCACCCTATCCGACACTCTTTTCACCTCCACTACATTCTTTGCCAACTCCTCCTTCAGGACCAACTCTACTCCATTTTTTTTTCTAACCCCCATGGTAAAACAGTTTAAACCCTGCTCCAATTGCCGAGAGCCTTGCTGCCATTCCACTTGATCTCTTGAACACAAATCATTTACCTTCCTTCTCTGCATCATGTCAGCCAACTCTCTACCTTTGCCTGTCATTGTCCCCACATTTAGAGTTGCTACCCTCAGTCCTACGTTGTTGACTTTCCTCTTCTCCCTCTGTCTCCTGACACATTTTCCTCCTCGTGGTCTTTGACTAACAGTAGCAAAATTTCCGCCGGCACCTTGTTTGTCAACAGCAAAAGTGGCAGTCGTTATTAACTCGGGCCTCGACTGATCCGGTATGAACTAACATACTGGAGCAAAAAACAATTGTAAGATAAATAATAAATCCCTAATTCATTCAACCTTTATTTATACGTTAATTCCACTGAGCCTTGCGGACTCATTTACAAGAGAGACCTGATTTTAACAAAGAGTGATGACAACAGTAGACAACAAAGACAACAGGAGACCATCATAAAAAGCATAGAATTTGAAAATAACAAATAAAAGAAAATGCTATAAAAAAAAGGAAACAAAAACAGCTAGGTTATAAAGTGATTTAGAATACTAAAAACAGGAAGCACAACCCGAAGAGGTGACATGGGTCACCCTTCCCATGGGCTCACCACCTGTGGGAGGGGCCAAAGGGGTCAGGTGCAATGTGGGATGGGTGGTGGCCGAGGACGGGGACCCTGGCGGTCTGATCCTCGGCTACAGAAGCTGGCTATTGGGATGTGGAATGTTACCTCTCTGGTGGGGAAGGAGCCTGAGATGGTGTGTGAGGTTGAGAGATTCCGGCTAGAAATAGTCGGATTCACCTCAACGCATGGCTCTGGCTCTGGAACCAGTTTCCTTGAGAGGGGTTGGACACTCTTCCACTATGGAGTTGTGCCTGGCGAGAGGCGCCAAGCAGGAGTGTTCATACTTGTTGCCCCCCATCTTGGTGCCTGTACGTTGGGGTTCACCCCGATGAACGAGAGGGTAGCCTCCCTCCGCCTACGTGTGGGACGACGGGTTCTGACTGTTGTTTGTGCTTATGCGGCAAACACAAACTCAGATTACCCATACTTTTTGGAGTCCTTGGAGGGGGTACGGGAGAGTGCGCCTCCTGGGGACTCCCTTGTTCTACTGGGGGACTTCAACGCTCACGTGGGCAGTGACAGTGAGACCTGGAGGGGTGTGGTTAGGAGGAATGGCCCCCCTGATCTGAACTTGAGTGGTGTTCTGTTATAGGACTTCTGTGCTCGTCATGGATTGTCCATCACGAACACCATGTTCAAGCATAAGGGTGTCCACATGTGCTCTTGGCACCAGGACACCCTAGGTCATGGTTCGATGAACAACTTTGTTGTAGTCTCATCTGATCTGCGGCCACATGTCTTGGACACTCGAGTGAAGAGAGGAGCAGAGCTGTCCACTGACCACTACCTGGTGGAGAGTTGGCTCCGATGGTGGGGGAGGATGCCGGTCAGACCTGGCAGACCCAAACGTATTGTGAGGGTCTGCTGGGAACATCTGGCAGTCTCCCGTGAGTCGGTGTTTTAACTCCCACCTCCGGGAGAGCTTCGAACATTTTCCGGGGGAGGCGGGAGACATCGAGTCCGAGTGGGCCATGTTCCGTGCCTCTATTGTCAAGGCGGCTTATCGGAGCTGTGGCCGCAGGGATGTCGGTGCCTGTCGCAGCAGCAACCCTCGAACCTGGTAATGGACACAGGCAGTGAGGGATGTTGTCAGGCTAAAGGAGGAGTCCAATCGGGTCTTTTTGGCCTGTGGGACCCCGGAAGCAGCTGATAAGATACCAGCAGTCCAAGCGGCATGCTGCTTGGGGTGGTCGCTGAGGCAAAAACTCAGGCGTGGGAGGAGTTCGGAGAGGCCATGGAGAATGACTTCCGTACGGCTTGGAGGATATTCTGGTCCACCATCCGGCATCTCTGGGGGGGAAAACGGTACGCCACCAACCCTATTTATAGTGGAGGTGGTGTGCTGCTGACCTCAACGCGGGATGTCGTGGGTCGGTGGGCAGAATACTTCGAAGACCTTCTCAATCCCACTGGCACATCTTCCACTGAGGAAGCAGAGCCTGGGGACCTTGGGTCGAGCTCTCCAGTCTCTCTGGTGCTGAGGTCACAGAGGTGGTTAAAAAGCTCCTCAGTGGCAGGGCCCCAGGGGTGGATGAGATTCGCCCGGAGTTCCTTAAGGCTCTGGATGTTGGGGGTTGTGTTGGCTTACACAACTCTGCAATATTGCGTGGACATCGGGGGCAGTTCCCTTGCATTGGCAGACTGGGGTAGTGGTCCCCCTATTCAAAAAGGGGGACCGTAGTGTGTGTTCCAACTACAGGGGGATCGCGCTCTTAAGCCTCCCTGGTAAGGTCTATTCGGGGGTTCTGGAGAGGAGGGTCCGTCGGATAGTCGAACCTTGGATTCAGGAGGATCAGTGCAGTTTTTGTTCTGGTCGTGGAACACTGGACCAGCTCTACACCCTCAGCAGGGTCCTGAAGGGTGCGTGAGAGTTTCTCCAACCAGTCTACATGTGCTTTGTGGACTTGGAGAAGGTGTTCGACTGCATCTCTCAAGGAGCCCTGTGGGGGGTACTCCGAGAGAATGGGGTACCATGTCATTTGATACGGGCTGTTAGGTCCCTGTACAACCGGTGTCTGAGCTTGGTCTGCATTGCTGGCAGTAAGTCGGGCTCGTTCCCAGTGAGAGTTGGACTCAGCCCGTTGTCACCGATTCTGTTCATAACTTTTATGGACAGAATTTCTAGGTGCAGCCAAGGTGTTGAGGGGATCCATTTTGGTGGCCTTGGGATTGCTTCTCTGTTTTTTGCAGATGATGTGGTCCTATTGGCTTCATCAGGTCGTGATCTACACCTGTCGTTGGAGCAGTTTGCAGCAGAGTGTGACGCAGCCGGGATAAGGATCAGTTCCTTCAAATCCAAGGCCATGGAGTTGAGCCGGAAAAGGGTAGAGTGCCCTCTCCGGGTCGGGGAGGAGGTCCTACCCCAGGTGGATGAGTTTAAGTAACTTGGTGTCTTGTTCACGAATGAGGGAAAAATTAAGCGTGAGATTGATAGGTGATTAGGTGCAGCGTCGGCAGCGAAGCAGGAGCTGTACCGGTCTGTTGTGGTGAAGAGAGAGCTGAGTCAAAAGGCGAAGCTCTCAATTTACCAGTCAATCTACGTTCCTACCCTCATCTATGGTCATGAGCTTTAGGTTGTGACCGAAAGAACAAGATTTCGGATACAAGCGGCCAAAATGCGGTTTCTCCGCAGGGTGTCTGGGCTCTCCCTTAAGAGATAGGGTGAGAAGCTCGGTAATACGGTAGGGACTCAGAGTAGAGCCGCTGCTTCTCCACATCGAGAGGAGCCTTTTGAGGTGGTTCGAGCAGCTGGTTAGGATGCCTCCTGGACGCCTCCCTGGTGAGGTGTTCCGGGCACGTCCCACCGGGAGGAGACCCAGAGGAAGACCTAGGACATGCTGGAGGGACTATGTTTCTCGGCTGGCCTGGGAATGCCATGGGATTCCCCTGGAGGAGCTGGCCCAAGTGGCTGGGGAGAGGGAAGTCTGGGTCTCCCTACTTAGGCTGCTACCCCCGCGAACCGACACAAGATAAGTGGAAGCGAACGGATGGATGGATGGCTGGATGGAAAAACAGGAAGATGTCTGCATTGGTTTTTGCCAGGAACTTAGCAGCTAACTTAACTAATGGATGGGTTTGCTAGAGAAAGTCAAACACATGTCAGATACAAGGGGAAAAAATGTAACGGAAGAACACAAAAAAGTGTGTAATACCTCTCTGTCCAAGCCTGCTGCTATTGTAATGATGTCTCCAGTTTCATGGTTGATGGTGAACATATTGAAGGTCGGGCTCTTTGGAGTCTGAGACAAAATCTTGTAACGAAGCATACCATTTGCTGTTTTGGGGTCATCTTTGTCTAGAGATGTTACAGTCATGACAAATGTCCCTTTGAGGCAAAAAAAAAAAAAGAGGAAACAAGACTCAAATTACCTTAAATCACTTCTCTTTTTAACTCAGAAAGGTAATTAAGGAATATCATTAATGTTTAATCTACCAGCACCATAACAAGTAGTGTAGCTAGAGGATCATAGAGGAATAAAAGGACTTTATGCAGGATCTTACCTGGCTTGGAACCTTCAAGAACAGTGCCATTCCAGATATGATGAGTGAACTCAGGTCTGTTGTCATTCATGTCGATCACATTGATCACAATATCAATAGGGTTTTCAACCTGGTTGCCATTCAAGTCCACTGCATGAGCTCTTAACTGGAGAGAACACACAAAAAACTGGGTTATTCTTGTCCGTAAAAACCATTAAAAAACAAACAAAAAAATAAACAAACACCTCTCAGTAAGTGTCACCCATTACATGAATGTACTAATCAAAGCCATAAACTGTAAACATCAGCATTTATTGGTGTAGGAAAAAACTGCAAATGGTTGAAGAAATGTTCATCTAAACTAGTAAGACAAAAGGAGGACCAAAGCACATTGTTCTTTGTATTTGAGTTTTGCTTTGTCTGATGACCATTGGAGATAGGCAACCTGAGCAGAATCAAGCAGATAATGACGAGTGTAAAGATTGTACAGTTTTTCTTTCCCACCACCACTACCGCTGCATGAACATCGATAACCCACGATGAGCCATGTGGTAAGACGTCTGCCATAGAATCAGCACCACAACAATTGTCTATTTCTGAATAATGCCTGTCAAAAACTGATAAATTTACACAGCTGCAGAAAAAAAAGCTTTGCAGAGAGTGGTGAAGGCTGCACAGAAGTCTGTTGGGAGTCAGCCTCCCCACCATCATAGAAATCTAAACCTCCAGATGTAGGAAAAGGGCCAACTGCATCATGAAGGACCCCACTCACTCATCACACACACACTTTTTGCCCTGCTTCCCTCAGGCAGAAGATAAAGGAGCATTAAGTGCAGAACCACTAGACTGAGGAACAGTTCTACCTTGAGGCTGTTAGACTTGTGAATCCCTAACCAGGATAAACACTGTGAAAAATCACATCATGTTGCTGCTGATCTGTTTCATGTTGCTGTGTTCATTCGTACTCATCTGCTCACACAGACTCATGTTCGTGCTGCTGTTCGGCATATTATTTTTTTACTACGACTGCTTAGCATATTTTTAGTTAACGTTTTCCTTAGTTCATTTCTTAGATCTTACAACTGTTTCCTTTTACATTTTATACTTTTGTTGTAACTGGGACCCTGTGTACACAGTTTTGTTCCACCACATGTACTACATGTGGTGCGCATAACAAATAAAGAAACTTTGACTCTGAACTCTCTCTCTCACTCTGATATAATCCAAGTTGATTCATGTTGTTATAATAATTCTAGTATAATACTAATCATTTCACTGTTTTAAAACAAGACCTACTAAAGTGCATGAACTTGACCCTTAATTTAACACACAACAGCAAGATAAGCATAAAAATGACTAATAAATCCCCTCCTATGAGTCAATTAATTCATACTACATTGAGCAAAACTTAGTTTACATGAAAATCTACATATTCTGTATAAATAACAGCAAACTATCTTGTAAAATGTATAGATAAAATTATTTAAATTAAACTTTTTGATGTTACACAAAGGAATATTATGAGTGAAGTGTGACAAACAGTTGTGAGATGCTCTACAGTTTATATTTCTTTTAATGCCTACAAAGAAAAAGCAGAACAAACAATCTGAAGAAAACTTTAAATGTTATTTTAAAATGAACATTTCAATGAAATGATATAAAACAAGTAATTAAATTTGCTTACAAATTGAAGGTTACGTTAATGTAGCTAAAACACAATTCACTCCAAATCCTTGAAATTCTCAGATGGATAAGTTGGATTTCCAGGGAGACTCCGATCTTTGAGTCTAAAGAGACTGTTTAGGCTACACGTGACCTTCAGCACATGCCAACTGGCAGGAATGTACGGTGTCGCCAGTGAGAACCCATTTTTTTGATAAAGTGAACTAAAAATGACATTTTAAAATCTCTAGGAATTCATTAAGGAACATATCTTTTTTTAAATGCTGTGCTTGACTTACATGGAAGTTGGGGATGTGCTCTCGATCGAGGGGCTTGTTAACCGCGAGCTCTCCAGAAATGGGGTCAATAGTGAAGATTGCAAATGGAGGCTGGTCAGCTCCTGGGCCCATCACACTGTATCTTAGAATCTGTTTTTTATCATGATCAGACCGGATCTGTGGGTGCAAAGATTCAACTTGACATTAATCACTCAACATAACTAAATTCAGAACAATAAAACTGCAGAAAACTTCACATAAATTGAAATTTCTAGGCATTTAAATACATCAGTTGCCCTTTAAACAAACAAAAAAAAAAGCATAGCAGTGCAATTTTGTTATAGTTCAGTTAAGTATCTATGTAAGCTGAAAACCTCAGACTACACCCTTGATCCATTCTGTGCAAACCATGTTCTCTTAATATCACATACTGTAGCCTGGAAACATCTTTTCAAATATTGCCAGATTAAAAATAACATATTACAATCATAGTATTTAGCACAGAGTATGAAAGATTAATGTGCTGAAAAAGATCTGTTTCTTAGCTGTCCACACCTCGGCCTGAGCACTAAGTTTTTGCAAACTAAACTGCATTTATCCTTGTACCATTAAGAAAAAGCAGAAAAGAAAATATTCTGTCAGCCAATAAACAATTATCATAGTCTACATTTTGATTCCTGACTTATAAATATTAATATAAAATTTATTTTATAAAAGAAAAAAATACAGGAGAAAAAAAACATAGCAAAACTTTAGAAACATGCTGTAAATGAGACACGTCTCACATCTGTCTGTGTGCATGCATGCAGTTGAGTCAAATACATTACCCGGACTAGCTCTTGTGGAAATGGGCCCCGCGAGTTCTCAGGGACATTGATTGGAGGGATGATCCAGTCTCTTTTCATGCGTTTCAGTTGGCTGTCCACGTTTTGCATAGGAAACACTATTTCCTCTAAATTCTTGGACTTGACTGGAGGGACAATATGTTCCTGGACCTGACGAAAAGCAAAAACATGATTTACTGATCATATGTATGCAAAAAAGTAGGAGTGCAGGCACTATTAACACCCAGGGGGGCCAAAGCTGTGAGGTTGGCAGTGCTGATCTGTAGGTGGGTTTGCCACAGACAGAAATAGCTCAACAACATTTTTTCCAGACTTGCAAAAAAATCCTCGAGATTTTGTTAATCCATGAAGAGCACCGTCAATGAAACTCTGAAATATTAGGTCTGACATCTGAACAGCTAATAGATGTCACAACATATTACACACGTTTGTGATCAAATAGCAATAGATTGCTATAGTGATCCTTAACTTTAGTCTCAAGTGGGTAAAAAGGTAAATGCTGAGGCATCTCATTTCTCACTTTATGTTTAAAGTATTCAACATCATGACATTTGCAATAAATTTTGCATTGTTATTTTTTTATTCAACAAATATTTAGGTGGACTATATAAACTTTAGAAATAAACTTCTGCTTGGCAACAAATTGTTCCCACTTACATTTAAGCTTTGTGAGCAAAAGCCTTGCCTTACTGTAAATGCTGACATTACAAGATAAGCAATGATCTAACAACCAAACAATTGGGCAAACGTTTGATGCTACAAGGACAGGCTGACATTTTTTAACATAAATCAACAAATATTTGAAATGTCTGTTTTGATTTTTTTTTTTTTAGTGTTACGGTTTGCTTTGACACTCCTCAGAATTACCTTTGTAGATGTACTCCTCTAATACTGGTTTGTTGAAAATGGCAGATCTCTTTTTATGTGCTGATAAAACACACCCACACAGATATACCAGCTTCCATAATGGATCTGCCATCCTCCCTTAGCTGTAATGAATAAGATTTGAAACAAAAGGAGGATGGTACCTGGAAGCCAGGCACCCCACACACGCACACACGCATGCACATGGTCCAAATTGCCTATGCAGCTTCAGAGACTAAAAAGCCTGAAGTACTGCCAAGAAAAGTTAAAATACCCTTGAACAAAGTGAAGCAGGAAGGAAAACAGAAAGAAACAAGTATGTAAAATGTGTCATTGTCAATAAATAAATAAAGGCAGCGAGCAAAGCTTGTTATAAAACTGCCAAGTTTTTTTTTGTTATTATCCAAAGAGTTGTCTCTAAATATCTAAACGCTGACAGCTTGTTAGGCAGTCAAGTCGTAGAAACTACTACAAAGTGCCTTGTTCAAACACAGAAATTAATTACCCCTTTCTCACCTTATAACATGACTCGTATGACTCAGATTCTGCACTCCCCCTCCTCAAACATCTGGGGAGATGTCAGAGAGCTTCCACTAATCATGTCTGAAATCCGATTATACTCCTTTCACGCATTCAAAATGCAGAGAGGCAAGCGACGAGACAGTAAAGGCGCATGCCTCAGAAATATCTATTACCCTATTAAAATGGCTGCGAGTGAGACCAGTAATTATTTGGAACTTACATCTGAAATGATGAATGGCATGATGGGTTTGTTCAGCAGAACAAATCTATCTCTGGTACGCTGGAGGTCTGCACCCATCCACACTTTGCGAGCATCCTCATTCTTCAGATTAGAACACTACTTCAGAGTCCCAGAGAGTGCTAGGTTGAGTGATGGCCTTAGTATTAGCGAGTGTGTAGGAAGAATTACATGTGCGTGTATTTGCCCTTTCGAAGGAGAAGGGAAAAAGTATTTTTGTGTTCTTTCAGAGTTTGGTGCAGCAAAAGTTGAAAATGAAGACCGAGTCAGTGCATGAGAAGGTCTGCACTCATGTTAATGAGGATCTTGTGCGCTTGTCACTGATTAAAATGTGTCCCAAGGTTGGTGCATTAATTGCACAATAAAAAAAATGCAATTACTAACGTGATTAATAGATGCAAGATGATTTATTGCAATAACTGTGCTGAATGGGAGGATAACCACTCCTGACCTCATAAACATTCAAGACGCAGAGATGCCATGCCTGAATTCTTTACATACAAATCAGGGCAAATCCAACAGCTCTCAACAGACACAGACCAGAGCTGAGTTAATAATTTGTATACGCACGCGGCACCCACGTGAGCTTCTCTCTGACTTTAAAGGTAAAACAAACTTTTACCAACTCTAAACAATGAGCAGGGACATAATTAAAATGACATGCACCTGCAGGATCCTTTGTATTAAGTGATAGTCAGCAGCTAAAAGTGCTTTGAAAAGCAGAGAAATAATTACCTGCAAGAATTTAAGTTGAGCTGTGAAGACTGGTGTGTAGGCAGCACTGCCATACAACTAAATCTCAACTTTAAATAAGCATCCATATTAAATGTAGTGCTCACCATTCTCAGTTTTATCGCCTTTAATGCACATTCATACACATCCCATCATAACCATTTGCACAAGTACATAAGAGGAACTAATTTTTTTTTTTTTTTGTACAAAAAACATGAATTATTCATTTGGGGTGTTCATTAAGAAAGACTAATGATTTGATGTCTTACATCTTTAATTAATAACATAAGCAAATGATCTCAACATAAAGCATCTGAATAAAAAGTAATTGAAACAATTGAACATAGCATGTTGTATTTTTCGGAGTACCATTGATCAGGTGAGTTTAAAAATGTAGACATTGTCTAATTAGACTAGTCTCACAAATGTGCGGTTTATTTTTAAAACTGGATGTAAACCTCTTCAGCAGCACAGCTCTGGAGCTAGATTTTATTTCTAAGCTTAAAGGCAGGCAGACAGACGAGACATGTGCTGTTTTTCTGTGCAATTCTTCTGATCCTCATCCAACTGCAACACTGACATGTGAACACATGGTCATTTTAACTAACTGCAGATGACTGCACAACACAGGCAGTGGAGCGATTTGAAGAGCTTTTTGCCACTCAGACAGTTGCTTCCTGCCTTCCAAAAACTGTAAAAGAAGCAAGCTCTTTTGGATGACAAGGTTATGACCTCGGGGAGTTTAACTTCAATGTGAGATATTTTGCATCTAATGCTGCTTTCAATCAGCCACACTTTGTAAAGTGACACGGTTTTCATTAGTAAGCATCTGCCCAGTCTCGTGAACACCCGCTGAGATGTAGGGCAGCAGTCATCTATCAATACACAGTGTGCATAATAAGCTATTTAAAATAAAGGCACAACTAATATTAAACTTTAAATGGCAGTACGATCTGTCAGATACCAAATAAACAAGGCAGAATGACGTATTCACCTGTGTGGGGGATGTCAGCCTGACTTGGGTCACCCATTGCTGCTGAGTGGTAGTGTCAACAGCCTTGATCAGCAAAGGCGACGCAGGGAGTGAAGAGGCTTGAAAAGTCCTTGCAGCATGAATTACTCCGTCGGCCTCTATCCGAAAGTCGGATGGATTACTGCACTCAAACCGCACCAGACCACCTCGATAACAGCTGATAAACTTCACTGTAAGCGAAAGAAGCACAAAGATTACTGAGTAAAATCAGACAGAAAAAAGGCCCACAAAGGTGTTCTGGTTCTCTTTCTCACTTATACATTATTCACTTCAAGCTGTTGCCCAAAGGTATCGCTCAAAACAGGTGCAGTGGAGGAGAAAGGAAGGAGAGCAAACATACAAGAGAAAAAAAAAGTGATCCTTACGGACTATTAAGAGAAAAGAATACAATATACTGAAGTCCACTGCACAAAATGTTTTGAAGTATTACTTTAAAAAGATACACAGAATGCGTAGAGGTGCCAAATGCTGGAAATGTCTGGTTTGATTTTCAGCAAAGACCGCTGAATGCTAGCTTTGTTCCTCATGACGTACCAGGATGCCTTGTGAGGATGACTGTGATCTCTGCTCCTTGAGAGACAGATCTGAGTGTGATGTTTATTTTATACGCAAGAACATGCAGAAATCTAAAACTCAACAGCCTACATTCCAGACAGGTGCCTCATCGGGGCTCGAGTCTCACAGGTGCATAGGTGGCAGGGGTACGACATCTCGTGTTACAACTGAGTGACAGTACAGTACAGCCGGTGTACCTCCTGCATGTACAGAAAAATAAACTCATACCAAACCTCCCTGTGAGAGAAAATATTTCCCTATAAGCTTCCCTATTCTTTATAGTATGTAAAGATCACAGTGTTTCATACATCATTCGTATGAAGGCTCCACTGAAGCGACCATGAATTATTTAAGCAGATGTGGAACTACTTAACAAAAAAGCCTGGAAGGTGGGTGCCTAATCTTCCTTTGTGCTGCTACCTTGGGGATCTTACTGATGTCTACAGAGCATCATCTGCACTTGGAGAAAAATCTAGTTCCCATGGGCCTGAAGAAAGGATGCAGTAGACTAGCTCGGGGTGTTAAGAAAACCACAAGTACACCACATCCTAAGAGTATCATATTTATGAACGGGAAAACAGGTGAATTTAAAACATTTCTTGCATATCTGCAAACCACACTTCCTTTATTATTATTATTTTATTACAGAACTGGCATAAAGCAAAAGGATGCCAAACAGTACACAAGATGAATGATAAATATGAGAAAGCCAAATATTTTAAATAAATAGAGAATTGGACATCTTTCTCCTGGAATACATTTTATACTGACCATCTGTCTTCTTGTCTACTTTTGTTCAATTACCCTTGACCAATTAGAGTTTACTTTGAACCTGGCAAAGCTGACATCAGATAAATGACTACCTCTTTCTTATGGTTTGCTTTAAAGCAAGGTGTCTGTATGCTCAAAGCCCTGAGGCAATCACCAGCCATCTCAAGTCAGCAGCAGATACTCAGACTGAGGTGGAATACAGAGTAAGGGACTGTCAAAATAACTCACAATGCAGCAGAAGACTGTCAATAAATTTAAGAAGCTTTGCAATGTTCAATGTGGGTATAGTCTCAGCCCGACAGTTCTGACTGAAATGTTGGAAAAAAGAAAAGAAGATGTATGAGCCTATTATCCAAACAGAAGTGGATCTGATTGTATTAAGGAAATTTTAAATGTATTCTCAATGAATAGACATTTGACATTATTTATCTACCAATAAGTAAAGGAAAACTGAAACATTAACATTTTTAGGATAAAAATGTGCAGTTGTCTCAAAAAAAAAAAAAAAAAAAACTTGGCATGTTATCTTTGCTTCACAAAGTTCTATTTAAATGTATTTATCTTTTGTTTTGGCACTTGTGACATATTTTCTGACTAAGTTTTATAATGTATTCATCAACAGCCTTCCTCTGTAAATTGTTTTAGCCAAGCCTCCTTTAGTGGTGAGCTCCTGCTCTTTACTATTGTCAGAAATTTGGCCAACGGGCCTCCTATGAGAGGCTCTTCAACAGTTGGGCCTCACTGCAATCACTACTCCAGCTCCAAGCAGGCACAGCAATTTTCAATGATAATGTATGGGAATTTCCTGCATGTGTCCATTTATTTCCTTGACATACTCTGGTGGTTTATGAAACCACAATAATGCAAAATGTGACATCGCTACAATTTATCTGTCTAGATGGATGGGTTCCCCAAGGTGCAGGGCTAAAAGAGATCTTGGTTGCCACACCCTATCACATATGTCATCATGGCGACAGCGATAAAGGCTTGAACGGGACAGAAATGCCGATGCAGCACAGAAGGGAATTGGGGGTTGGGGTTAAAAAAAAAGGGAGCAAGAGGGGAAAACCGGCATGTCAGCAAAAAGGCCTGTCCAGCTAAAGCCCTGATCCGGGGCCCAGAATTACCTCCGATTCAATGATTCTATTCACAGCTTCGATACACCCCCTCTCTCTTGCTGGACTACACAAAACCCCCTCTAACCTCTCCATAGTAAAAGAGTGCCTTTCTATTGTCTGATCATCACGTGATAACTCTTACTCAGACAGACACAAATAGTTGGAAAACAAAGGGTTGAGGCAGAGACACATTTAATCTGGAGCACCGAATGCGGACCCCTCGACTCCACAGAGGCAAAAAAAATGTTCCACAATTTCATCTTTAATGCAGCCTGCCAACTACATTTGCTGCAAGCGAGCAGACTGAACTCCCTCTAATGTGCTGTTAATGTGACAAGACTGAAACCTTTTTGTGAGATCATCCTGATATGCCATCATTTATTCTGGGAAGTGAGGTCACTGACAGTTGAGAAATACTCAGCATAGGTGTTTCATCAGTAGCTGCAGATAAATGCGTAGCCGTGCAAATACCCAGTGCCAATCTCCAAACCCAACCCTGGCAAATGGTTTAACACCTCAGAGCAAATGTATTTTTCACAAATTAATGTGTCCAGGTTTAGTACAGTAGCCTGCACTTGGCAGTGATAATGCAATATGAAGCAAAGGCTCCAAATGAATGTACTGTATCAGACATCCATGCCAGCACCACTGTTTATAAGATCCTGTTGAGCCCCAACAAAGCTTGCACTCTGTCTGGTACCTTGTTTCAAACTGGTGTGATATGAAATTCTAATCCAGGCTGAAGTTGGTGAAAACACATTATCTTATGGCCAGCATTTTCTAACAGTGCACAGACATTTAGTGCAACCAAAATATCCCTAACAGCATATTCAGTAATCGTCCCAATTATTGCATGAACTGCTAAAAACACAATGTACTAATGGAACACAAAGTAAGATCACTGCTTGCTTTGCATAATTGCTCATGCATATTTTTTTTGTATTTTTTTTTAGCATGGTGGTGTTTTTAAAGGTTATCATTATGGAAACATATTTCACATAGCTTGTAAATAAGGCCATTGTGCAACGTCTACACCCTTTTTCCTCTTAATTACAAACATTCTCATATAAATAATGAACATGTAAAGCCGATTCTAGTAAGTGTTCTGATAAATATGTTTTACTGTGGTTCACATTTTATTTAAAGAAATGGCATTATTAACCCATTTTACTAAAATACCTGAAACACTAGGATCACTTAAGGCACTTGAGACTAAATGCCTTTTATAAATCCAAGATAAAAACAATTTAATTTTAATTTTTTTATGCAATACTTTCCAGCGAGGCAGCGACACTAAACACAAGTGGCACAAATCTGGATACGATACTTCATTTTGCCAGAATATGTCCTTGAAGGCCGTTTACTAATGTACAGCTATTCAAACATGTAGCATTATTTGCTGCAAGTTATTTTGTTCAGTGTTTTAAGGAATTTAAAAAGAAATGCCATCAGAGCATGGACGCATGCAATAAGCAGCTGGCTTAAATTACAAGGCTGATTGCAATGACCAATCCCCTAGTGCTTGCTTTCCATCTTAAAACTGCTGGTTAATTTAAGGAATCATGAAGAGGCCCTTAAAGTGGATTGATACTACAATCTCTTATCAAAAACACCCACATTAGCATACACATCCTGAGGAATGCTGGAACTATAAACATCTAAAGGAGCTATATTTTTTCTTGCATTGCCAATTTTAAAAGCAGATTTTTTTACGCTTTCTTAATCCAGCAAACTGGCTCCAGGAAATGAAACATCTATTTATTTTTATTGTTTGTTTTTTATTTTGGTTAGTTTAGGTTCCTAATCACATTTCAACATTTGTTTATTTGTTTTCTTGGGGCACAACAACCTCGTTTTACAAATACTTCCATTTTTTTGAGACAGATAAAACTTTTGCTTGGTCATGTTTGAAACAAAAGTGAACTTTGGCCTTCTTCTTTGGCTTCCCCACGCATCAACTGTAAGTTTGTTAGATACCACTTTGCATGGTCAAACTAAAAGGCTAACCAAATTCAGTTGAACACTGATTGTCCTAAACTGGTATTTGCTAAGTTTGTTTTATTACAGTTGCAAAAATACCTATCCATCTCTATTCTTTACCTGCTTTTCAATGAAGGGTTGTGAGGAGCTGGTGCCTAGACCCAGCAGTCACTGGGTGAAAGGCAGGCCTGTCACCCAGAACAGGTTGGTCACATGGGAAAGAGAGAGAACCATTCACACTCTCACTCACATCTTGTGACAATTTAGAGTATCCAGTTAACCCATCAAGGTTCTCTAAAAAAATAATGCATGACAAATTTCTGCTCAATAAACAATATTTGGCAACCAAAATGTACTCAAATGTTTCCATGTTTCCAAGAGTAGTACAAAATTTGATTAGCAAAAGAAAGAATCCCAATTTTTTAAGAGTTTTGTTGTGCAAACAAAACAGTTGTGTTTTCCAGTATACTGACAGTCAAGCATTGTGCGGATTAACGTGCAACTGAAGCCAAGAACTGATAAGGCTAAGCTACATCCCTCTGCAGTTATCAGCTCATAGCTACCAGGATTTTTACTCTGTGAGCTATTGAGACAAGAAGCTTCATACAAAAGGCTGCAGAGGGCCATTAAACTGACCGCCACTGACAAGATGTCAAACACTCTTCAATCATAGGGTCCCCCTTCTCTCAAAAGGGCACAAAATATACAGAAGGACTACTGCTATATAAAAAGGTAAATAGCACAAT